GGACTTATGATAGAAACTGCTATCCACATCCAGAGAAAGAATTAACAGACTCTGAATGCGAATCAAAGCATGCTTTTTTTTCTCACTTTTTTGTGGGGTTTTTTTTTGGCCTGTTTCTTCTTTCACAACAATGACTGACAAGTAGATATGTTTTACATGATAGCACACATATAACTTATATCAAATTGCTTACCATTTTAGGAAGACAGGAGGAGAGTGAGGGAGAGAGGGAGAAAAATTTGGAATTCAAAATCTTGTAAAAATGCATGCTAAAAATTGTCTTTACATATAATTGGAAAAAATACTATTTAAAAAAAAAGAATTCTTCACTTTCCTTCATCTAGTCCTCAAACTTGTTTCTAATAATCACTCATTCTTTCTTTCTTCCTTGCTTGATGTCTTACAGGTTCTCTATATCCTCCTTGAGTCCTTGCTTATAGATGTCATGGAGTAATTCTCTTTTCCTAGATATGTGTCTTAAGCCTTCTCTATGATCATAATAACTCTTTTTTTTTGGTGGAATTCTTTTCTTTTGTTTGCTCATTCTTATAACCTACTTTTTGGCTTTAAACTTTTTGCTGAGGCCAGGCTGTGTGTGTGTGTGTGTGTGTGTGTGTGTGTGTGTGTGTGTGTGTGTATACTAAGTTTTTGTCCTCTTAGATCATTCTGATGCTTTCTTGGGAGTGTTGAGTATTGTATTATTCCAGGATCTCAGGAACGGCACAGCCTGGGGATTTGCAAGCTTTCAGTGCTCCCAAAGTGATATGATCTAGGGCAAAGACTGCTCACTGCTCTCCTAGTCTGAACACTTCAGGTTCTTGACTCAGGTTTGAGTCTGAGCAACATGCCTATGGGCTTCCTCCTCTTTGGAAGTTTCAGTAGACTATTTCTGGGCTCAGCCACTGTCAGCTAAATGGGAAGCTTGGCTGGTTCAAACTATAGGATTCCCTTTTGGTCTGAGATTCCTGCCCTGGTTATTCTGTTGCAGGCCTCAGTTTAGGCTGGAGGCCTAGAGTCTTTGCTCTGCTTCTGGAACCACAGCCATACAACCATTGTTTACTTCTGAATTTGTTCTTTGCTTAGTACATAGCTAGAGCCCACTAGATGACACTCCTCTCTGCCACCCCCAGCTCCTAGGCATAGGTCCCTTCCTCAGTGTATGCTGAATCTGTGACCCAGAACTGGGTAGTGAACAACAAAGATGCTGAATGTGCCCTGTTCCTGCCTTCTGGCCCATGTGGCAAATTTCTGGCCAGACTATCCTCAATTCTGCAGACTTCTCTGTCTCTCCGTGCCAACCTGGGCTGGAAAAAGTGACTCACTGTAATATTTCTTGGATTTCTCCATCAGGACTTAGTCTGGTATGTTTTCTAGATCTTTATGAAAAAGTTGTATTGGAGGAGCTGGGCTATATACTTCTGTCTACTCTCCCATCTTGATTCCACCCCTGAACTGAGTCTTGATGGAATCCAGGAAAGGTAGAGAAGCCAGGAGAGGGAGAGCAGGAGGATAAACATTTCAGTCATGGAAGACAGCCAATAAAAAGTCAGAGAATTGGAGTTGGGATCAAAGTGTCACTAGGCATAAGTCAGGAAGACCTGAGTTCAAATCCTGCCTCAGATACTTTCTACTGTGTGACCCTGTGCAAGTCCCTTAACCTAACTTTGCCACAAGTGTCTTCCAAATAAAGTAGAGATAATAATAGCACCCACTTTCCAAGACTGTTGTGAGTCTTAAATGAGATTATACTTTTAGAGTGCTTTGCAAACCTTAAAGCACTATATAAATGCTTGCTGTTATTATTATTTGAGGAATAGGAAGAAAGCCAGTGGTGCTTGTTACATGTTGGAACATGGAGTATATGAAGAGGAGTAAAGTGTAAGAAGATTGAAAAGGTAGGAATAGGAGAAATTGTGAAGAACTTTTTAAAAAAATTAATTAATTTTGTTTTATCAACAATCACTTTCGTAAGCTTGTGAGGTTTAAATTTTTCTCTCCTTCCCTCCCCAAGATGGCAAGCAATCTGATATAGGCTATACATATACTTTCCTATTAAACATATTTTCACATGAGTGATGTTGTAAGTAAGAATTAGAACAAATAGGATAAACCACCAGAAAGAGGAAACAAAACACAACAGAAGGAAAAAAAAATAGCAAATAGTATGCTTCGATCTGCATTCAAGCTCCATAGTTCTTTCTTTGGATGTGGATAGCATTTTTCATCATGAGGCCTTTGGAGATGTCTTAGATCTTTGTAATGCTGAGAAGGGTTAAGTCTATCAATATTAGTCATCAAACAACATGGCTGTTACTGTGTACAACGTTCTCCTTGTTCTGCTCACTTGTGAAGAACTTTGAAAGGGAACCAGAGGAATTTCCATTTGGACCTCGAGGTAATAGCATTTCTCAAACTGGAGTTTCCTGAGTAGGAGAGTGATATAGCCAGACCTCTTTAATAAAATCACTTTGACAGCTGAGTGGAGGGTGATCTAGGGTGGGGAGAGACTTGAGGTGGGCAGACCAGGCAGTAGGCTATTGCAGTGATCCAGGTGAAATATGCTAAGGGTCTGCACCAGGATGGCAGGGCAGCCATATGAGTGAAGAGAAGGGGACATAAACAAGAGATATTGTGAAGGTAGAAATGATAAGATGTAGCAACAGATTCTGTTTGGGGCAAGACGTTGGGTGGCTGGAAGGACAGTGGTGCCATCCATAGGGAAATTTGAAAAAGGGGAGATTTTTTTTTGGGAGAAATAGTGAGTTTTGCATTGGACATGTTGAATTTGAGATGTCCTATAGGCAGTTCAGATGACGTGAGATTGGAGATCAGAGGAGAAGTCAGGGATGGACAATAGATCTGAGAATCATTTGCCAAGAAAACCTCAAACTGGCATCAGGAAGTTTGGATTGAATTGGACTGGGCTGACCAGTCTGACTGCTCTGCTCTGCTCTGAAGATGGAACTGTATTTGTGGGCAAATGCAGCCTGCTAGATTGCTTACAGCTAACCCAGTGTCTCAGGCCTTCAAGGAACCCCACTTTTGTCTGTGTGGGCTCTCTCAGGGGCAATGCAGGGTTCAGGCCCACTGTGACTCAGTTAGATAGATGCTGTTGTGGCAAAACAAATTAGCCCATCAATCTACCAATCCGCCTGACCATCAGTTTGGCAGCCAGCCATCCAGCCAATCAGTGTCTGGTGGTCTGCCTCCTTCCATGGCTGAGAACTCCCAGGGCAGCAACAAGAAGCACCGCGGGCTATAGCTTTCCAAAAGTCTACTGTCTCAGTCTACTGGTGCTGAAGCTGACCCCTCTGCGGTGTGTGTATGCATGTCTGCCTAAGCTAGTCGGTCCAAGGGTTGTGTCCCTGGCCTGGGCTTGCCCCTCCCTGGGGGGCCTACATCTCCAACGGGACCTCTTCAGGAATAAACTTGACGCGGCCTCCCGAGAATTTTCTGGGGGAGTGGACTTCGAGGGCTTGTCTCTCCCTGAATCACCATTTCCCTTGACTGCCCACGCTTTGCAAACGACTCTTGCTAGCGCCCTTATCCCTGTCGAGCTCTCCCGTGTCTGTCTGAGCTGCCAGAGCTTCGCCACCTCCTGGCTACCCCAAGCACTGGCGCTCCTGGGTTGTGGTTTAGCCCTAGGATGCCCACCACATCCCGCCCAGGGTCTGAAATTCAGAGAAGAGGAAGTGAGCCCAGGGCCTGCACGGCTGAGCCCTAAGAGACCTCCATCCGTTGATTGCTGTCCACCCAGTTACTGCTCCTCCTTTCCCCTGTCTCAGGGATTTACTGGGGCTGAGGAACTGCCCCTCCAGGGACGCGGTAACGCGTCTGTGTTTACTCGGAACGGGGGTGGCTACGGGAGTAGAGTTGGTGTTGCTGGTGGCGGCCCAGGCCTCTGGGCACCACCTGACGCAGAGCACCGCGGGAGTCGAGGATGCAGAGTCCTGGACTGTGGGGTCCAGTGAGTGCCAGCCGTGGGTGCCTCTGCAAAGGCCCGGGCCCCCTCCCCAGTCTTTCCCCCACCCCGCACACCGCCCTGCAATCATTTTCCGCTCCCCTTGGATGAAATTGCCAAAGTCTAATGAATCATTCGGCCCGTAATGGGCCGCGGCGCTTATCAGGGGCCGGCGGGCCCGCGGCAGCGCCTTATCTCGGCCTCGCACATGGGCCGCCCGCCCGCCCGCTCCGCCCGCCATGCTAAGTAGGAAGGGGACGTGAGGTGGGATTAGAGCGAATGTGGATGTGGCAAAGCCACCAGCGCCGCGGCGCACGGGGGCGGGGGCGGGAAGGGGGGCGTTCGGGGAGGAGGCCGGGCAAGGCAGGGGGGCGCACCCCGCGAATAGGCCGGAAAATGGCTCCGCCGCGCAGAACGGTGAGTAGCCCACCCGTGCCTTTATTCCTACGAGGAGCCCTGGACACCCCCACGCCGACCGCCCTCCTTCCTCACCCCCTCCTTTTGTTCCTCGGTCTGCACCCGGGCTATTTTCCCAGCTTCCTTTCGATAGTATGTGTGTTTTAACCGCCGCGCCCCCCACCCCCACTCCAACCCCCACCCCCGCCAGCCATCAACCGGGCCCCCGCCTCCCAGACCCTCTTCCTTCCTTCCCCTTTTTTTCTTACGCAATATACAGAAATGCGCGAGGCGGTGGCTGGTGTTTATTTCTTCTTCCTTGTGTGCGTGCGTCCGGATTGTGGCAGTGTGGGTCTGTGCGGGGGTTGTGCGTGCGGGATATCAGCCGGGTCGGGCCCTCTCGTAGCCACCGCCTAGTGGCTGGGTTCTGTGTGCGTGTGACCACCCGGGCTTGTATTCTGGCAGGGGTAGTTGAGCCGTCGAGTTGTGGGTCCGCGTATGGCTGTGTAACGTGAACTGTGTGTTCTCAGACTCGGGTTTGGGATATTGTAGGAGACCGTGGGTGCGGCGTTTTGGCCAGGCTAGAACCTAGTGCGTTCTCTTCTCCGAATCAGGTTGCGAGTCTGCCGGTGTGCTGGTGCGTGCGTGCGTGTGTGTGTGTGTGTGTGTGTGTGTGTGTGTGTGTGTGTGCGCGCGCGCGCGCGTGTGTCCCAGGGCCGGGGAGGTCCAGGGCATCTCTCGGGGCTTCCTGGTTTTTTACCGACCATGGTTTCCTGGGGGACCGATGGCAGCTCGGAGTGTCGGACGCCCAGTGGATGGGCAGTACCTTGGTATTCGTCCTTTTCCGGAGAGGGTGGCTGGGGCTCTGGGCTTCGGGCTGGGGCGGGGCAGATTTGACAGAAGGGGACCAGGGCCAGGTAGGATTGCTCCCTCCCCTCTCTTGCAGTCCCTTCTACTCTAGGAGGCTAGCGGTCTCTCCACAGCAAACCTTCCCCAAACCAGCAGGACCCTCTCCCGGCCTGGTCTGCCCTTTGCACTCTACTGGGCTCTGGCCAGCTTACTCCGGCTAGTCAATTTCAGGGCTGTTCCATTTCAGGTCTTTTTTTTTTTTTTGTCTGCTGGGCTGGAGCTCTGGCCTGGGGTATCTCTGGCCCAGTGTAATGCACCAGGCCCCTCGGCCAGAGAAATCTTTCTCTTCTCTGGCCCACTCACCCTCACCCCATCCCGCCCCAAGCTTGGGGTCCCCGGTAGCCCGAGACTTGCGACCGAAATATCCGCATCTGTCTCGGAAGGTGGTCAGGAGATAGCGGCGTCTAGGGTTGCCTGGCAGAGGCCCCCAATTCTTTGCCAGTTCGGCGAAGATTTTCATTTCCAGAAGAAAACGAAAGCTTGGGAATGCTTTGGTTTCCACCTTCCTCTTCTCAGTCCTCTCAGGGGGCGTGCAGGGAGGTGGGTCCTGGGCCCCTTTCTGGAAAGGAACAAAGCGCTTTGTGCGGCGAGAACGTTCTCCCGGATTCCTTTTCCGCAGTGAAGGGAGGCTCCGCTTCCTCCTGGGCTGCCTGCTCTGGCTGGATCTGGGACCAACACCAAGCCGAGAGAGGGGTCTCTGGCGGAGCTTGGAGGCGTTTCTGAGCGAGCCTGAGGCAGAGTCAGAGGGCCAGGAGAGAGCAGAGTTTCCTTCCCCAGCCTACCCCATATTCCGCGTGAATCCAGAGCCAGAGAGAATAAGCTCTTTGGGAAAACCCGGGAAGAATTATCCAGATATTTTCTGCAAGGCAGTGCCTACACAGGTGTAGGGAAGGAGATCCTCTTTATTATCCCGAGATTTTGATCCATAGAAATGCCACCTTTAGGCCTCCGATAAAATAAAGACCCTCTTGTCTCTCCGCAGCAGGCTGCCCCCCCCTTCCCTTTTTGCCCAAGATAATGCGGACAATGGCTTCCACCAGCCCAACCCTCCACTTCCCACCGTAGGAGAAGACGCCCTAGCCTCCAAGGCGGGGTTCTCCGCGGCGAGATTCGGCTGATTCTTTTCGTTTTCGTTTTGGGGAATTTTCCTAACCAGGGAAGGTGGAAGGGCGAGGGAGCGAAGGGGAGGTATCGGGAAATAGACCTCAGTCTTGTGAGGAAAGCGCTTCGCAAATCTGAAAGCGCTCCATAAATGGGAGTCATTATTCCTGCCCAAGTCATCACCTATTTCAGGCCCGCTCTCTCCAAACCGTTGCCCAACTAGACAAGGGAGCCTTCCTCCGGTCTCCCGGCGCCCGAAGCGGGTTGGCTTGATTTCGGGCGAAGACCAGCCTCAACGCTAGGCTGGTGTCGGACTTCAGCGAATCGGCGGAGGGCTGACTATTTCTTGGCGCCCTCCACCCCCCGCCACCCCCGCCAAAGCTATCCCAGCCTGCCGCTAGTTACATTGAACTGGCCCTTCTCCGGGAGAAGGACTGGTAAAGAGGAGCCCAGCCTCAAATCCAGTGCCGGCTCTGCCACGGACCTCTAGCAAGGACCACCCCGCCCCTTCCCGGTCTGGGGGTTCTCTTTTTCCCTGTCTTCCCCATGGTACCTAAACTCCGCCCTAACCTTCCAGGCTTCAGGGGCTACCTCAGGGTTTCTCTGGGCCTCCTCCTAACGGGTACCCCCTGGACAACCTAGGACTGAGCAGACACAGCTTTCGAAGCCGGACACACAAAGAAGGACCCCGCCCCTCGGAGGCGGGCTGGGCCAGGGCAGCACAGGGCACTGGTCAGACCTAGCTAGGCCCGCGGCCCTCTGAACCTCCGAGGGCACTGGGACTCCTAGCCTGCTCCGGCCCAGGTTGGGGTGTCACTAGGGTGGGAGGTGCTTCTGTTTCTGATTGGTGAGGGCTGGAAACTTTTGTGGGGTCCGTGTGCCCAGTAACCGCAAAGGACCCCTCCCGTATGCACTAGCCCTGGAAGCCGGATTTTGCTCAACGGGGCGTGTTTTCTATATCCGTCCAGATCCCTGGGGCTTGGAGGGGGGACACGTGGATAACCGGCAGAGAGACTGACCCTTCTCTCTCTCTCTCTCTCTCTCTCTCTCTCTCTCTCTCTCTCTCTCTCTCTCTCTCTCTCTCTCTCTCTCTCTCTCTCTCTCTCTTTCTCTCTCTCTCTCTCTCTCTCCCCTCCCCTGATCTTTCCTGGAACCTCCCGGCCCTCCTCGCCTGGCAGGCTGCGATGGAGTAGGCCGCTGCCATTGCCTTCTACAGAGGGAGGTGGAGACCGAGGACCCCGGCTAGTCCTTTCCCCCCTACCGGCCCGCCCCCCGCAGTGGGGAGAGGTGGAGAACCGATTGCTAGGAGCCTGTCGCTTTAAATATGCCCCAGGTGAGTTTGACAGCCTTTTAGCTGGAGTGGGGGGAAGGGACGGTGTGTCTCTGTGTGTGTTGGGAGGGGCAGCCGTTAAAAGTAGTAGACCGAGAAGCTCTTGGGTACCAGGGCGACCCCGCAGCCCCAAGGTGGGAGTACTGAGGATTGGGGAGGGCAGTGCTAAGGACCACTCAGCTTTCTGGGCCTGGAAAGAAGCAGGGGGAAGGAATACTCCCCCATGACTCAGGAAGGACCAGACGATTCAATTCAATATAATACAATATTTATGCAGAACAATTTCAAGACAGGGCCGGGGTGGGGGGCATTACACTGGCGATCAGGAAGGGTCTAGCTTAGTACAAAGCGGGGCTGGGATTCAAATAAATTCAACAGATATTTTTTTTTTCGGTGCTGGCACTGACGTAGGCAACGGGGATACAAAATCAAAAGAATGCAAAACGACCTTGTTCTTAAAAAGCTTTCATTCTACTGGGGAATAGAATGCGTTAATGAAACATTAAATCGCAGGTAAATTGAACATGAGAGCTCTGTTAACTGGGAAGATTAGAGAAGGTGGTAACTGAGGGAGATCTTAGCAGAAGCTAAGTAGTCTAAGAGTATGATGAGGATAGTGGTGGTGGTGGTAACAACTATGCAGAAATATGGGAATTAAGATACTGCCGGTGGTGAAGGAGGAAGGTTATGATGGTCAGGGTTGGAAGGATTTGCTTCTGTCTTTGGTATTGATCCACTACGTGACTTTGGATAAGTCCTTTCCTCCTTTAGGCTCTCTCAGGTTACTCTTTTGTAAAAATTCAATCTAATTCAAGAAGTGTTTATTAAGCACTTAGGTTCCTGTGCAGACTCTGGAGTTAGAAAGAAAAATGTGAGGGAAGCCTTGCTCTCCAGGAGCACCCTTAAGGGGGAGGAAGACAAGCACAAAAACCGCCCTGTTTTGGGGGAAAGTGAGATCAATTAGAAGGAATGGCCCCAGGGCTAGGCAAAGGGCTGTGTGAGGAGTGAGGAGACTGCAGCACTCTCACCTAATTGGACTTGCTGATGGATTAGAGAAAGCTTCTCCGAGGCCTGCTGAATCTCCAAAGTTTTGGTAGACTCACCTTTATTTCTGAAGCTCAGATTAACCTGAGGGTGCCAAAACAGACATTTGGGCCCAAGGTTATGTTGGGACGCTCAGCTCTGGAGGCTAGTACTGGAGGGGACTCTACCTTGAGGGAGGCAGTAATTTGGGGGGTTCCAGTGCCCGGTTCTCGGTATCTCAGTCATCCGGCAAATGTCGGAGGTTTTATTGTTTGTTTGTTTTTTCCTTTCTCCTACTGGATATTTGGTATTAATATTCCAGGCAGCTTTCATCATTGGTCATTCCTGTCCCTTCCTGACAACTCAAGGGTGCTCTGCTGCTCAGAACTTGGGTGGAGGACTGGGGGTGGTAGGTGTCTATGCCAGGAGCTAGACAGTTCTGTAGAGCCCAGCAGCAGCAAGGATAGTTAGGGATCTGGCTCTGATGCTGCCTGTCTGTGTGACCTTGGGCAGGTCCAGCCATCAGGTGGAAGGTGGAGGTAGGGAACTAACTATATGCCTTCCCACTTACCTGAAGGGACAGTTGTGAAAGCTATAGGAATGGGTTCTTTTTTTTAACCTCTCCTAGAAGAAAGATATTTTTCTAGAGTCCAGACTACACAGTTCATTAAAACAAAACAAAAACGTTTTTTTTGAGTGAAGACAAATCAGCAAAATCCCAGTCCTTTCCTTAAGAAATTGACCATCTATTGAGGGTGGGAGAGGAAGAGACAACACCAATATTTACAAGCCTAACCACAGATATCATCATGTCCAGCCACATCGTTTTATTGATGAGAAACTGAGACCCAGACAAGGGACAAGGCTTACCGGAGGTCACATATGGAGTGAGTCATTCATTCAACAAGTGTTTATTGGGCAAATGCTGAGTGTCCAAGGACTTCGTGGAAGGACCGAGTCTGCGACCCTCCAAGGCGCAGAAAAGATTAGAGATTTGAGTCTGATGAGACTTTAGAGAGACCTTCAAGTATAAACCCTTTATTTTATAAAAGGGGAAACTGAGATAAAGGAGGTGAAAAGACTGAAACAATGGGGTCACAAAGGCAATATGGAATTTGATCCCAGGTCCCCAGACGCTAAACGGGTTCAAGAGAGACTAATGTCCGTAGAACCCAAAGGCCTCGGGAGTTGATGGCTGAGATGTCGTTAAGGAGGAGCACAAAGGAAGAGGTGTGAATGGAAAGAATCTTAGATCTGCCCTGGGAGCTTTGGTTTAGAGCTCCCCTCTAATATAGTTCTCGAGTTGTACGACAGTTTGATCAAATCGCTTTCTCCCACGGGGCCTCAGTTTCCTCTTCTGTAAAACGGGGTTTATGTCTGTGAACATCCTATTGCAAAAGGTTGCTGGGAGGAAAGTACTTTAGGAAAGCTTATTATTATTATTCGTTGTATTGGCATTCAGATGATTGTTGTGGGGAGTTTTTCTCGCCGTGTACGCAGCCCTCGTGGTATTTAGAGCTTCACTCCCGCTGTCCCTACTCCGCCCCTCATTGTCCCCTTTAAATTAAAAACCAGGAAGCGCTTTCCATTCTCCACGATTCAGATTAGAGTCCTTCCCAACCCGTGTTTGCCCGCCCGCATTTGAGGCTCTAGAAGGCTAAGGAGCTGGGGAAACTGTCCAGGGTGGGGGAGGTGAGGGGAAGGAAGCCGCTGAAGGAGCCAGGAGGGAGGTCAAGAGCCTGAGTCTCCCCGAGCGAACTCTGCCCTGGACTTGGAGTCCGGCTGCTACGGCCAAAGTGGCGGGAGATCTACTAGGCCATTCACCCCTGCCCAAGGGAAGGCCTCTGTCCAGGCTAGCCTGGAAGGAGAGCGAACCCAGGGCACCCCTCCCTTCGGCCCCTGTAAAGGCTCAGGGAGCCCGGGGCTGCTGAGCTCACTCCCGCTCGGATGATGGCCAGCAAGCGTTTGGACTCCCTTAGCCCAGGAGGGTCCTTAGCCCCAGCTGCTTCCTCCTACGCCTGCCCGCAGCGAAGGTTCGCTTTCTAGCAGACACCGGCCATTGTCTCCGGAAGCCTCAGAGACAAGCATCGAATGCCGAGTGTTTCTGTCTAACGCTGTCTGCCGGACATGCCCCGTTTTTCGGTTTGTTTTGTTTTATTTTATTTCTTCGTTTTTGTTTTACTTTTACCAGAATAAAATCAAACAAATTCAGTTTGGGAACATTTGTGTATGAAAGTTTCTATTCAAATGCAGAGTGAGGTGGCCATTCTAGCCAGGAGCTGTCAAAGCCCGAGTCTCGAAATAGTTGCGGCCCTAGAGACCCGTTGCAGAACTCCTCGGCCCCTCACAGAGGAGCTGGGCAGCCAGGCTCAGCCTGCAGCTGCTGTGGCAGGCCCAGGGCCGGAGGAGGGAAGGGCTGGAACTGGCGGAGCAGTGCGAGGTTGGGCAGGGCCGAGCCAGATCGGAGCTAAGCTGGGCAGGCTCTCTTAGGGCCGCTAGCCTTCTAGAACGAGTGGTCTCGGGCCACCCTTAATGTCAGGAATCTATCGTCCTTTCTTGGGGTTACCACTTCTTCCCCCAGCCCTCTTCCCCAGGGATTGTCCGATCCATGAATCCATTCCTAGCTAGAACCCTTTCTCCCATTTTCTCTCCTCGGGTTGACAAAACTTTCCCCACACCTCCTCGATCCTCCCCCGGTGGGGCGGTAGTGCAAGGAACCTTACCCCTATTTTCTTAAAGACCAGACTGAGGCTCCGACGTGAGATGAATGGCCTGGTCCAAGGGCTCACGGCCGGCAAAGATTAGAGCCAGAATCCGAACCCAGGGCTTTCCTGACTCCACCAAGTCAGCTACTCAGTTGAGAGCCAGCCTGGTTTGGGGCCTTCCCTGGCGATTTCCTGTTCGATGCAGATTCCTCATAGATAAGCTTGGGAAGTACCTTGTAGCCGTACGCCTGGGGGATTCCTCCTTCCTTCAATCCACCAAACTGGGGGTAGCTAGCATTCCCTTCCCAAGGAAGTATGTGTATTTTACTTCCCCGCCCACTAGGGGCTGGGGGTGACCGGGAGAGGGAAGAAGAGGGCTGAGCGACCCAGAGCCCAGGGAATTCGCCTCCAAGTTGCGATCAAGAGCCTGTCCTAGACTTTCGTTATCAGTCCCCCTTGCGAGTACGGTCCCGCTTGGTTCGAATCCCCGAGTTCGTATCTTCAGGCCTAGTTCCTCCCCTGCCAGCAACCTGCGCCACTCCCGCCCTGCAGCTAGGCGAGGCGGAGCTTGGGGTTCTGTGCCCCAGAGGCAAACCCGAGGGTCCTTGTCAAGGAGCCTCCGCCACCACCCGTCTTCTCGAGGTCGTTGACTCTTGCGACCGGGTCCTACCCATTGTTCGCGTCTTTCGAGTCACTTTTCGAAAGCACAGTGTTTCGGGCAGTGGCTGGCTGTTCAGCCTGCCCAGTCCAAGCCCCGGGCCTTGGTCCCCCAGTGGTTGTAGTCTGGCCCCGGCAGCCCAGCGGTGTGTGGGTGAGTGGGAGGCAGGAGTGAGCATCAGTCGGAGAATGACAGAGAAGGGCTCACAGATCTCAGATCCTGTCAAGGAACGCACTCTGGTCTCTGAAGCTCCCTTAAAATTCTATTTGTGTAATGAGGAGGCGGACTTGTAGTCACACTAAGGAAGCAAACTGTGACCAACGCTCCTGTCAGCTGAGAAGGACCCACGTAGACAAACTAGACAAGTCATTAAGTAGACCTACTCCTCTCTCTCTTTGCTCTCAACCGCATTAGTTTTCTCTCTCCTGGTGTGTGTTAGAGGCTTGTATTAATGGGAATAATCTCTCCCCACTCCACTTTGCCTGCATGGACACTGCCGCTGTTAATCTGTTAGTGCCTGGAACCCTGAGAAGCCTCAATCCCTAGCAACACCTCACCTTGGGGGGCTGGGTTTTTGGATGGGAAGGAGAGTACAGATGAAGGGTGGGGAAGTGTGTATCGGTGGGAGGGAAAGAAGACTAAATTGAGGGATTGAGGAGGGGAGAATTCTTCTCTCCCTCCTACCTGTGCCCTCCACTGTTCACCCTCTGTTTGAGGTCCCCGAGGCCCCAGGAAAAGGTGGAGAGCTGGGACCGGGAGAGTAGAGGGAGAGAGGGGAAACGGGGATTAGGGAATTGGGGGAGGGGAGAATGAAGGAGAAGGAAGAGGAGAGCGGGGAGGGGGCTAGAGGATCGAGAGGAGGGGAGTGGGACAAGGGGAGCGGACAGAGAGGAAGGCAGGCAAAGGAGACTGTGTACCCGTTTTTCTGCGCCTCTCTGTCTACCCTTTTCCCTCCAGGGCCCCAGTCCGGACACTGCGCCTCTGGGGAGAATGATTCTTTTCCGTTTTTTCTCCCTCTCTCGTTCGTCTCCTTTCATTTCCATTAAATAAATAATAAATAAAACCTCCTTTCTCCTGGTCGTCTCTTCCCCCCTCCTCGTGTGTCTCCCCCTCCCCGTCTCTGTCCCCCGCCCCCGCCCCCTCCCCGGGTCCCCACGCTTCCTGTCCCCGCCTGCGGGCGCTGCGTGTCCGTCCGTGTGACTGTCCGTCCGTCTGTCCGTCCGCGTGTGTCTGCTTGTCTGTCTGTGTCCCTGCAGGATGATGGAGCGGCAGGCAGCTGAGCTGCCCCCCAGTGACCCCCCGCGGGATGCAGCCCCGGGGACCAGCAGCAGCGGTAGCGGAGGGGGGGGCGGCTCCGATCCTGAGCCCGAGTCCGAGTCCCGCATGGAACCGCAGCGGGCCCCCCCCCACCTCCTCCTCCTCAACGGCGTTGCCAAGGAGACCGGCCGTCCGGCCCCCGACCCCCCCGTCATCGAGTTGGCCCCCCGCCGCGGCCCGGGGGGCGGCGCCCGGGACTTAAAGGGCCGCGACGCAGAGGCGCGCCAGAGGGTGCCCACCACGGAGCTGTGTCGGCCACCCGCCCCCGCCCCAGCCACGGCGCCTGCCCCCGTAGAGCCCCCCAGCGACGGCCGCATGGTGCAGCTGAGCCCCAGCGCGCTCCCGGGACAGGCGGCCGCTGCCGCTGCGGGCAGAGCCATGCTCTACGGCCTCGGGCAGCCGCTAGCCTCGCTCAGCAGGTTAGTGTTCGCAGCCCCGGGAAAAGGGAGTACGACTGAGGGATCGGCATGTGGAGATTGCGACCCAGATAGGGGGATGCAGACTGGGATGTGGGAAAGTGAACCGAGATACGGAGATGGGGAAACGTATGTGAGAAAGGGGACTAGGATGTGGGGATGGAGGATCAGAATGTGAGGATAGGGATCGAGGATGCTGCAGAATGGGTTTGTGTGTTTGGGGAGGGGGTGGGGGATGGAGGTGGTAGCCAGGAGGCTAGCACAAGTCCAGCCGAGCTCTGCTGGGATTGACGCTGTGTCGGTTATGGGAAGGTGTGTTGCTACTCTCTTTGGCAACATGTGTGCCTCCTACGTACGGGTGATCAGGCTCCTGTTACTATCGTCATTCCTGTTTTAGGAACGAGTGCACAGCATTATCGTGCTTGTGTGTTCAGATCTGTGTATTATGTCTGTGTGTTTGATTGTTTCTGTATGTATGTGGTGTGTGTGTGTGTGTGTGTGTGTGTGTGTGTGTGTGTGTGTAAAGGCAAGCAAGGGGGATCGGTTTGTCTTCCTGTTCTTGTCCTGCTTCGCTGCACTCTGAGTTCGTGTCTGACCTTTCTCAGACCCTACCCTAGTACACTCTTCTCCCTCTCTCTTTCTCTCCCTCTTCCTCTCCTCTCTGTCTCTATCTCCCCTCCTCCTCCTCCTATTTTTTCTGTCTCTGTCTACATTTATCCGTCTCTGTTTCTGTGTCTGTGTCTGTCTGTCTCTTTGTGTCTGTCTCTTTCTCTTTGATTCTCCAGCTGATCTGCGCTTATCAGGGCTCTCTCGGTTTGCCTTCGCCCTCTGTGTGTGTTCCATTTCATAAAGTCCATTCCTCTGTCTGTCCGTGTGTCATTTTCTATATCTGTCTGCTATTCTAAAAAGTCTCCCCCCCCCCGATCGTTCCATCTAACTGTTGGAAGAGCGTCTCAGATAGAAAATGCTGGGGCTAGAGGGAAGCCGTGTGCATGCGTGTGATGTCCGCCTCATGGTCTTCCTCTTCCACCCTGCCAAGCTGTGGAGCCCGAGATCCTTAACAGAACCCTGCAGTGCACTGATCCCCCTCCCGCGTTGGCCCGGGTGTTGTTTACTGAAAGGCTCTAAAATTGATAGACGCCCCCCCCACACCCGGGCCCGCTCTTCCAGTGTGTGTGTGTGTGTGTGTGTGTGTGTGTGTGTGTGTGTGTGTGTGTGAGCTTTTCTTCCTTACCCCCTCTCCTTACTCAGGTTCACTGGGACAGGGCCCTGGACTGCCTGGGGACTCTTGCTGACCCTCAACTCATCACGAAGGAGTCCAAAACGGGAAGTGGGAGGAGGTGGGCAAAGGACTTTGGGCTAAACTTTGGTGCACGCTCTTTTGGCCCCGGCCCGTTGTGTGTGTGACGGTCCTGCGGCTACCAGGAAGGTGGTGGGGACCGGCATATCTGACTCTGCTTCTCCCCCCCGTCTCTTCCTTCTCCTCCTGACAGCGGGTTTTTCGGGGAGCCAGACCCCTTCCCGGTGTTTACCAGCAACAATCGCGTCAAGAGGAGACCCTCGCCCTACGAAGTGGAGATCAATGACGGTGAGTCAGTCCTTCCTCAGGCTTCTTCCTACCCCGCTCCGCCCCACCTGACCCTTTAGTCTGGGGTGGCCCCCTTACAGCCCGCCACCCAGCCACTTCCCCGGAGAGCTTAATAGCGCGACAGTTATTGAGCTATTTGGTTAATAGTGAGAGAGTCAGAGAGCAGGTCCTTCTGGTCTAGGAGCCAGGAAAACAAGATTTCAAGTGCTGCCTCAGATCCAGACTGGCTGCCGGCCAACCTGGTGGGAGTCCCTTCACCCTTCAGCTCTCGGGCAATTCTCTAAAGCCGTAAATTATAGAACGGTACTTAATCCCAAACTGATGACGTTCCAGCTCTGAGCCCCCTCTCTCCCCCTCCCCCCAAGTAATTTCTACCTCTGGTAAGCACACGGATAGTACATATTCATAGATATACATATTCAGGTATAGATGCATACATACTGTATGTAGAATATATGTATAAGTAAACTGTTTAATACAAGTTTAATAACTTATCCAGAGGCAGATGATTGGTAGGTTTGAGGAAACATTTGAACTCAGAACTTTCTGACCTCAATACATATACCTATTTACTGTGTTCAATATATATGTATATGCACATATACATAGAATTTCATATATTCACAAATACGTATTACACACACACACACACACACACACACACACACACCAGAATCGTTATTTCATTGCTGCATTGATGTAGGGAATGCTCCGTGCAGACGCTCCCTCTAACAAGGAAGACTGCAGCCTAAAGTCTTAGACAATGGTTTGGGACACCAAGCAAATTGTCCAGTGTCGCACAACCAGTATATACCAGGGGCTTGAACCTAGGTTTTCCTGACCCCCAGCCTGCAGTCTATCCACTATGTCTCCCATCTCTTTTCACCCTCCCCTCTCCTCCCCTCTCCTCCCCTCTCCTCCCTCTCCTCCTCTCCTCCTCTCTTCCTCCTCTCCTCCTCTCCCCTCCTTTCCTCTCCCCCTCTCCTCTACGCTCCCTCCCTTCTCCCTTCCTTTTCCTCTCCTCTCTTCCCTACTCTCCTTTTCCAAACTCTCCTCTCCTCTGCTCCTTAAAACACCATATAAACACTAACTTCTATTATCGTTATTGTTAGTAATCCCGACTGATTTTTACTGACTGTGTGACTTTGGCTGAGTCACTGGACTACTCTTCCTTTGAAAAAATGAGGATAATATTCCTCTGTCTCTACCTCACAACTGCCCTAGTTGTGAGGAACCTACCAAACCCTAGAGGTGTATGATTCTTTTTTTCTCTAACTCACTGTTACAAAATAATAGTTAGCATTTATACAGCCCTTTAAGCCTTACCTGGCACTTTATCTATATTATCTCATTTGATTCTCACTATAATAATTTGAGGTAGGTCATATTATTTCCCCCATTTTACAGATGAAGGAACAGAGGCTGAATGACTTTTAATAACTTGCCCAGACTCAGCTGGTAGCCTTGAGGGAACATTTGAACTCAGAGCTTTCTGATTTCAAGCCCAGCATTTCACCCTTTAAGTCACCTCATTACTTTTGAAGTTTTCCTGATAATCATTCTGCCGTAGGTGAGGATGTGTGGAATATCGAAAGTAAAGGTGGGGCCCATATCCATGCTAGGAGGAAAAGGGCAGAGAGTTTGGAGTTAAACTATCCTTGCTGAAAATTGCCAAATTAAATAAAATTAAGCAGACATTTATTAAGGACCTCCTATGCATGGGTCTGGCGAGACACAAAACTTAGCTGAGATAACTGCAAGGGCATATTTGTTTCACACACACATCACAAACATACACAAACATTCAAATCACACACATAATACACAGATCTGAACTTACAAGCACAATAATGCTATGCACTCATTCCTGAAACAGGAATGATGATAGTAACAGGAGCCTGATCACCCGTACGTAGGAGGCACACATGTTGCCAAAGAGAGTAGCAACACACCTTCCTATAACCAACACAGTGTCAATCCCAGCAGAGCTCGGCCTCGGTAGCCTCCTGGCTACCATCTCCATCCCCCACTCCCTCCCCAAACACCCAAATCCATTCTGCAGCAGCCTCAATCCCTGTCTTCACATCATGCTCACATCTTTGCTCTCAAGACTGGTTTGTAATTTAGCAGGATTAAGTGATCAAGTCCATCATTTTTCTCCTTCCCACTTGGCCCCAACACCACTGGGAACACCCTTGGGGATGGGTCACCCTGCCCTACACCACCCCATAGCCTTCAGTGGAGATTCCCTCAAGCCCAGTTTAATTTTCAGTCTTTTTGTTAGTTGAGGAAGATTGTACTTCAGTCTCCTCTTGGGGCTGTTGTGAAGTTGAAGGTGACATTATTCTGTTAAGCACAAAGTAGTTGGGCCAGTGGAAAGAGCCCTGGGGGGAGGCTGGGATTGAGAGCTCAGGCTCTATGGTCAAGGCCAAGGCCAGCCTATAAGGAGGCCACTGTGGCCAGAGGGTAGTGAGAGAGAGAGGCCCTCGGTAATTTGTAATTAGGCTGGAGGAGGGAGGTAGGGGCCAGATTAGGGAGGGCATTGAAGGCCAGGCTCAGGGTTGGCCATGGCTCAGGGAGGAGAGGGTAACCATTATAGGTGTATGGATGACAGAGTCCAAGTTGGGCTTTCAGAAGTGTTTACAGGCAATCTAGGTTGCTATGGAACCAGAGAGTGATGCTGACTGGTGGACCTGAGGGTAATAAAATTTGAAGGGAGTAAAAACCCACCAATTTAATTCAACAAACACCCTACTTTGTGCCAGCTCTTCCAGTGAGTGACACACTCTTTCCCCCCACCCCCACAGTGAGAGTAAGCAAAACAGAGAGGAGGAGATACAGGAATAGAGAAACTGGAAAAAGTGGGGGCATTGGAAAGAAATAACAGAAAAAGAATAGGAAAGTGGGGAGGGAAAGAGAACAGAGAAGCAAAGCAGGGAAAGAGATTAAAGGAGAAGACATTATAATTTAACTAGCTGTGTGACCATGGACAAATCATTCTCCTCAGTGGGTCTTAGTGCCCCTCCCTGTGAAAAAGGAGGGAGTTCTTATTCAGTTCTATTCAAGCCAACACAACAGACATTTGTGAAACCCCTACTGTGTGCAGTGCTGGGAGAGATGTGGACTTTAGATCAGGCACAGCTGATGAAGCTAAGTCTTTGACTCCAAGACTCCAGCATCATTTCTTTCCCTGAGGACCTGGGGAGTGAATAGAAAGATGGGTGTGTGTGTGTGTGTGTGTGTGTGTGTGTGTGTGTGTGTGTGTGTGTGTGTGTGTGTGTGTGTGTATGTGTGTAGAAATCAATGTTAGGGAAGACTGACAGGTGGAGAGCACAGCTGTCTCAGAGGGCTTTGGTTCCCATGTCCCAGCCAAGGTGGAGCTGTCCTATCCAGAGGTCTGATGCCCTGGGGCCAACTTCCATTTCCTTCTAGGGACAGCCCTGCAGGTGTGCTGTGTTTTTCTGTCCTGGGCCTCAGAGAACAGGAAGCCCAGCTGGACTGACGGGTATTGGAGGAGTCCCTCAGGGGCCTTGGTGTGCTGGTCTCATTCCCTGGGGCAGTAATTTATTCACTGGAAAATTTGTTTTCCCACAGACAGAGGGAATGAAACTAGAGAGATCTAGAAGGGACTTTAGTATGAGAGTGTCAGACCTAGAAGGGGCTGGAGAACATAGAATGTCAGAACTGGAAGGGACCTTAGAATGTAAGATGTTAGAGCTTGGAGGAACTTTGGAATAGCCTTCTACTGACACTACTCGTGTGACTTTAGGCAAGTCATGGCTTCTCTGGAACCAGCAGGTTCCTCATCTATAAAATGAAGAGGTTGAACTGAATGACCTTTCAGGTCCCTTCTAATTCTTGATTTGGGATCTCAGGATTGAATGTTCTATGAGGTAAAAATCAAGAACTTGGAGAGACCTTAGAACAGTGAATCCCAAATTTGGGAAGAATCCTAGATTTAAAAAAAATAGGCTGTCTGGAAGGGACCTTAGAACACAAAACAATGACTGTTAGATCAGGAAGGGACCTAAGAACATCAGGATGGAGGGACCCCTCAGAGATCCTTCTTCTTTCGCAAATCACTGCTGCAAAGGGCCAGAGCCAGGACTTTAACCCCAGGGGCTGGTCTTCCAGTCCAGAAATCTTTCCACTATATGAGAGAGAGAGAGAGAGACAGACAGACAGACAGACAGACACACACACACACACATACACACAGAGACAAAGAGAAAAAGTAGAGAGCTAAATATACAAAAGCTTAGAGCCAGAGTAACATAGGAAGAAATGAGGGAAGAGACAAAAACAAAGAAACAAAATGGAGAGAAGGAAAGTCCATGGGTTTTTTTGTGATGCTCAGTGGCTTTGTGTGACTTTAGACACCAACATGGCCATAGCTCAGCCCACTCTGGGAATATTAGAGAGCTTCTGGTCTAACCCCACTTATTTTATTTTCTATATCAAGAAAATGAAACCCAGAAGGGTTAAGTGTGAGGTGGCTCACTGACCTTGGAGTCAGGAAGACAAAAAAGGGTTCAGATCCTGCCTCAGACACTTACTAGTTGTGTGACCCTGAGCAGAAGTCACTTAACTTCTCAGCCTCAGTTTTCCCATCAGTAAGATGGGGATAATAATAGCACCTACCTCATTTTGCAAACTGCTTTAGAAATACTAGCTATTCTTATTAAGTGACTTGCTCAAGGTCACACAGTGAAGTGTCTAAGGCAGAATTTGGACTTAATTTCCTGACTCCAAGTTCATTGCACTTTCCATCCCTTCCAGCCCTTGCAGTCTGTAGGGGGTGTGGTGGTGGGTGAGCAACTGGGGAGGGAGAGTGGACAGGACTGATTGGCTATGTTCCCTCCCCTCTTGTGCTCTCTAATAGGCCCCCATACCAAGGTTGTCCGGCGCATCTTCACCAATAGCCGGGAGCGGTGGAGGCAGCAAAACGTTAATGGGGCATTTGCTGAGCTCCGAAAACTTATTCCCACCCATCCACCGGATAAGAAGCTGAGCAAAAATGAGATACTTCGTCTGGCTATGAAATACATCAACTTCTTAGCCAAACTCCTCAATGACCAAGAGGAGGAGGGCAGCCAGCGGGGCCGCGGGGCCAAGGACCCCGTGGGGACTGGCGGAGCTGGCAGCGGAGGCGGGACGGGACCCAGGGCTGGGCCAGCTACTGATGACCTCCTCCACGATGCTCTCTCACCCAACTCCAGCTGTGGCAGCTCCCTGGATGGTGCTGCCAGCCCTGACAGCTACACTGAGGATTCGGAGCCCAAGCATCCAGCTCGAAGCCTGCACCCTGCCCTATTGCCTGCCGATGGCACTGGCCCACGGTGATGGGCCATGCCAAAGGGCAGCCCTCCTGTGGCTGGGATGGCGCAGACTTGGGGTACAGCATAGGGACAGTGGATGGAGCAGGATGCTGGGAGTAGGGGAAATGGTCAGTTCAGAGGCTAGGAAAAGACTGGCCTGGAAGCAGAGGGGATGAATAAGATGACCTTTCTTGGGCCTGGCTTATCCGGCCTGAACCCTATATGTCACATATCATGGGAATTGTGTGCGTATGGTCAGAGGCTGAAGTGATGTCTTTGGTGATTATTTCCCTCCTGGATCCTTGGACTTTGCCCCCTCTGGCCCTGGAGTTGGCAGCTCTATGGACACAGCATGGTTGGTAGTGTACAAGGAAGAAGATTCAGCTCTCTCCCACTCTCCTGTATCTCTGTGAACCTCTGGACACCTACCAGCCCCACCTGATCCCCAGAACCAGGTCTAAGGACCCAGGAACACCCCCTATGCCTGTCCTCCCCCATAATACTGAACCGTGCTTTCAGACCTTGGCCTTTGGGATGGTCTAAACCCCAGTCATCCAGGCTCATGGCCTCCATGGCTCTGCCATGATCACTTGAGGGCTAGAGGCATGGTGGGGAGAGTGGAAAGTCAGCACTTTCCAGGTGGGAGCTCCTGAGCCCTCCTATGGAAGGAAAGGTACCCAGTACTCGGTCCCACTCTGCCCTGGCCCTCCCGCCACAGCAGTCTGCACATGCTCAGTGATCACCCCGAGTTGTGAGCAGCCTCAATGGCCAGTTGTCATTGGAACACTCACGGATGGCATAATCACAATTTATGCACATTCACTAATGCCTTCCCCAGTGGGGGGCATGGATAATCCAAGACCCTGGAGAAAAATGCACTTGCTTGGTTTGGGAATGAAGCTGATTGCTCCTCTCGTTCCTGGGTGCTAGCTTTTTGGCTGTAGACACTGTAGGAATCCAAGCAGGTGGGTGAAGGGGTGATCGAGGGAGCTGAGGACCCTTGATTGAAAGTCAGGAGACCTGAGTTCTTGACCTAACTGTTCCTGACTTACTGTGTGGCCTTGGGGAAGTTCCTTCTCCTCTCTGGGCCTCAGATGGGACTGACTGGGTGGTCTCTCCAAGCTCTCACCTTCCCAGAGTCTGCTCCCAGCTCTGCTGCTCACAAGCCCTGTGACCCTGCACAGATCTCTAATGGGGGCCTTAGCTTTGGTAGTCTTTAAAGGTCCTTTCAGCTCTGCTCTTCTCCAATCCCAGGCTCCTGCACTGACTGGGGATGAGACCTGGGGAACCTGGTCGTGTATAATGGAATGCTGGACCTGAAGAGTCTGAGCTCTGTGTTCAATGCCCTTCTGGACACCAAGTTCATGGGTGTCCTTGAACAGGGATGAGTACGGATTGGCCTGGGAATGGATAGGGGCTCCCCTGAATGAACTGAAACCTGGCCTAGCTTGAAGGCAAGACTCCAAGCTCTTCTACTCCTGGGATACCTACAAACAGCCCTTGACGCTCCGGCACCTCACTTTATGTGGCAGTCATGCTCCTGAGAAAGTCACTTGTAAACCGAAGTTTTGTACATCAGATTCTGTTTTAAAGGACTCTTAGGGTGACCTCTTTTGTAAAGTGAAGAATTCTTTTTGTAAAGTGAATCATCACTCCTTAATTTGTCTCATGTGTAAGACTGAAGGGTTGGACATCAAGTTTGCATGGAGTGAGGTCTGCCTATAGCTATGCTGGAGAAAGAGTTCCCCAGTATTTGTAAGAAGACTCCAGTCCCCTTTCTGTCTCTCTTACTGGAGGCTTCTTTTTCAATCAAATGGAGACCGACTGCTTGGTGCTGTCTGAAAGCCTGGCCTTCCCTCTGCAGCAGGACTAGTGAGGGTCTTTGAACCCCGACCACATCATGACACTTTACCTGATCTCTGACTGCAGGCATTGAGATCCAGCTTGTGTGTAGGGAGCTGAGCAGATTACCTGTCTGTGGTCCAGCAGTGGCTGGCTTTGATAGCACAGGGGCCTTTCTCTGTGCCTGAAGAGAGGCACTCCCTTTTGGGGGAGGGGGCAGGTAGCAATAGCCTGACTTGGTAGGGGGCACTGAGGATTTCTCAGTGTTTCTGTACCTGCTCTGAGCTCCCTGGACCCACGTCCCATGACTCACCTTGATCATTTCCATTTTACAACCTTCAAGGTTTGGTTGATCCTTTGTATCGAATAGTTTCCATTTTACTGATGAAGAAACAGAGATGAAATTATTTGTCCATGGTCATATGTCAGTTGGAAGGTAGAAACACAGCCCCAGCCTCTCCTGGGGCTCCCATTTTCTATGCCTTGTATTTAATACCTTATACCCTCCTTCCTGGTGGGCTCCTATTTTATAACACAAAACTGCTATGGAAACCAGGAGAGATCTAGAGAGTAGCTTGGGGCTTGGTGCCCAGTTTTCAACAAGACAGGTTGGCCAGCAAAATGGGAGTGGGGGACACCTGGGCTTCCCAGTGAGAGCAAGAGAGCTTGGTCCTTGGTAAATTGGAACCATGTGGATAGTTGGATATAGACCAGGGCTATGGACCTGGTTCTAGTCCATACTTCCCTTCTGAGTTGCTGTGTGACTTTTGGCAGGTTGCTTCTCCTTTCTGGGCCTCAGCGACAAATGGGGCAGGTTTAGAATCCCATCTTCCTCCCAGGGCAGTCATGAAGCTCATTGTAGGCTATGTATGAAAAGCTACCAGGAAGATTAAAGATTAAAGATAAGGGAGAGGAGGGTGTTACTATGAGCATCCTTCTCAAAATGGGTTTTTTCCACTCTAGACACATGCCCATTGGCTTTTGCCATATCTCAAGCTCTCTAGGCAACAATGAAGTCTCTCCTGCTCTCCACACATGTACATTATCCAGATAATTTAGCCCTGAACTAGTTCTGTCTGAACTCTCTGGATAAGTGAGGCCATCAGACGTTGGTCAACAGATACACTCGGACACCTTTGCTCTTTTAGGCTGAGGTACATGTCTGTGTGTGCAGAGGGGAGTAGGAAGGGAAAAGGGGTTGTCAGAGAATGAGTCAGGTTGGGGGAGCACATAGGAATAGATCTACCATAGGATCAACCCAACTTGATCTAGTGTGGGAAGGTAGCCAAGGCTTTAGCAGAGACTCAAAAATCATTTGGTATTTCCTTTCCCCTAAAAGAAATAAGAAAATTTGAAGAATAAGACTAAAACAAATAGGAGAACAATTCAATTCCACTCAAGAAGCATTCATTAAGCACCTACCGTATGTCTGGCACTGTGTCAGCTGCTGGGAATACAGACAAAAACAGAAACAACAAACCAGTGCCTGCCCTCAAGGAGCTTAAATTCTATTGTGGGAAAATAGAACTGAAAATACAAAAGAGGTCAGCATAAATAACATTCTAAGGATAATGGCAAAGAATGTCATGATAGAAAACATTCTGAGAACAAAGGCCAATGTGATAAGTTGGGGAAATTGCCTATTTTTTCACTCATATTCTCTCTTTTTCTGTGTGTATGTGTGTAGCTGAAAGACATGATGGTACAATCTTCGTAAATTTCTCCAAACAAGACCAAACCCAGTGTCTGTAGCCCAGCAGCTACATTTCATCTCCAGTTTTGGGAGTGGGTCTAGTTGTACTTGTTTTCAATGGTACCTGGCCCCCTGGGAACCCAGATCTCCTCTGGTCCCTGCCCTATGTCTGTGTACGTATGTGGCTCCCCACATTTTCCAGGGGCAGCCCCTTGGGTCCATGTACTGTAGGGGATGATTTTGGCTGGTCTCTGCAGAGGATGCTCTTGCAGAGAGGGAGTAACCACCCTTGGTACCGTTGCCTTGGAGGACCACCGAGGCGAGCGCTGGGGAGTGCTACTCTGGGAGAGAAAAGGCCTTTTGGTGGTGACGAGTGTGCTTGCACTTGTGTGTGCATGAATGTGCATGTGTGTGTGTGTGTGTGTGTGTGTGTGCGCGCGCGTGTGTGTGCGTGTGTGTGCACATGCAAGCATATATGTATGAGGAGTATATTGGGGAATGAGATTTCTAAATAAAAGTTTTACAGAGTGGCTATGGCTTCTGGTCAGTGGTATCTTTGTGCTGGGGAGGATGGGAAGAAGGGCATGCTTTTTGTGGTTTCGAGGGGTATTGGGGGAAGATGAAGACCCCTAGTCTGCCTGTCAAAGGGGGTATTCCTCCTGAGGGACAGGCTGGACCAGACTTTTTCCAAGGTCCCTTCCAGCTTTCAGATTCCACGGCCCTGTTGGTTTGCTCTGAAGATTAGGAGAAGGGTTGACTTTATCTTTCTTGGTCCAAGGGGGCAGAACCAGGAACAACGGGGTATATAAGGAAAACCTGTGACCATCAGAGCTCTCCATGGTGAGGATGTTGGGGAACCTTGGAGAGCACCAGTCAGAGGTGGGATGATCATTTGCTCAGGGGTGCTGTAGAGAGGGTTCCTGCAGGGTGAGGCAGAAGTAGGGTGGGAAACAATAGGAAAGACCATTTATGTAGCACAGTAAAGTTTATAGATTGCTTTCCTCACCACAGCCCTGCAAGAAAAGCAGGTCAGGAATTATTATCCTCATTTCACAGATGGGGAAACTGAGGCACATAGAGGTGACATGACTTGCCCAAAGTCACATGAGTAGCTTGCATCAGAGTGTGGCTCTGAACCAGGTCAGAGGACCTGAAGCAAGAGGTCAGGTTAGAGAACCTGAATTCAGATTTCAGTTTTGCTGTTTATTGACCTTGGGGCCACTTAGAGTCATAGGATTATAGTATTGGAAGAAACCCCAAATAGCCAGAGAAGTCTATGGCCCTAGGACTATCTCCCATTATACAGCTCTGGGATGTGTAAGATTTAAAATGCATCCAGGGCGAGTTAGAACTGGCTCCTGAAATCCTCTGCAAGCTTGTCCACTGGGCCATACGATTCCACTTCTCTTGTCTGGGGTAGGCCTTCCTGTTCAGTTGTAGAGATTTTCCCCCTCCATGACTTCATCTCCCACCAGCTCCATGACAGCTGCCACAACAGGGTCTTGTTCAGAAGGCATCATATAAACCCAGGCCCCAGTGGCTCAGGGCCTTTGACCAGAAAGCATATCCCACTGCCCCTCTGGGCTACTCCTCAGCATGAGCAATGGTGGGGGCAAGAGACTTCATATTTGACTCTCTCCCTGACTCCATCTGTCTATACTCTCCTCTGTTCTGCTTGGCTATGAACACCAAAAAAACATTCCAACCCATCCTACCTCCCAAACTCTACCTTCAATTTTTTGGACAAACACCCTCAGTTTATTGATGGGAAAATGAAGGCCTAGGTGGGGCCAAGTTAAACAGGCAGTGAATGGCAGAGCTGTTTAAATCCATGACCTTTGGGACTCAGTTTCCTTAGCTGTAAAATAAAAGGGCTGCGATTAGTTGCCTCCAACAATTCTAGCTGTTTATCCGACACATTCCCAGTATCACCCCATGACTAAAGGCCCAGGGTCTCCTAAGGATGCTGGACTCATATGGACTAGGCCTCATCTTGAGGGTCATTTTCTTTCTCTAGATTGATATTTTCCCCCTGGAGTTTTGTCCTGGGGAAGCTACCACAATATATTTAGGTTTCCTCCAAAAGTGTGTAACAGGGTGCCTTCTACACACTTTTAGCACTATATATGGGTGTTGGGCACAGCACAGCCTTTATTTCACCCTGAGTGAGACTGAAGAAGATGTGAAGCACTCACTCATGAACAGGTATGGAAAAATAAGCCTCCAAGGTGCCCATCACTCTGAAGGTAAGCACACTTTGGGGCCACCAAGCAAGTGCTCTCCTTTAACCTAGACCTGCCCTGCCTTGCCCTAACTACTCCAGGCCGCAGCCTTGTTGACAAGGTCCAGATCCCTTGCCCTGAGTGGTGTGCCCTTTGGTGCCAGGGCGTGCCTCTGTGAGGGGTCCTCTGCCTTTTCCCAGAAGCACGTGGTTGAGGAGGTGGTGCCTAATTAGCTCACCCAAGGAGCTCTCTATTGATTGGAAATTGGTGAACTTGGGGAATCGTGGCCTTTGGGTTTATTTAAGGTAAGGTAAGCCTCAGGTCATGGGAAGTCCGTTTTCTGTTCTTACATTTGGTGCCTGGGCTCAGGAAAGGAAAATCAAAGGCAAAAGGAAGCTTAGACCTAGGCAAGTATGAACCGCTGTCAGTCACGGTTTCGTGTGTGTGTGTGTGTGTGTGTGTGTGTGTGTGTGTGTGTGTGTGTGTGTGTGTGTGTGTGTGTGTGTAAGGGAGGGAGTGGGGGAAGCAGAGAGGAATCCCCTTCCACAACCCCATGCTGCACCATAGACTGAAGACAAGAGAAAGAAAGTGTCTAAGAAAGGACCACAAGCCATTCCGTAGCTTTAATTTATTGACTTTGGGGAGGGGCAGCTTTTCCTACAAGGGCTTGTCCCCTCTGACTCTCAGCTGCCAATGATCACAAAGGCCATCCCAGTTACTGGAAACCAGTCAGAGGCATTTCCCCCATAATTTTTAAGCATTTATGCTTCTGAAGTTATTAAAGCTTAGGGACTTTGGGGATATTCTGCATAAGTCTATGAAAAGTCTATAAAAATGAATACAAGGTAATTCTGGGAGGGAGCTCACTAACCGTTGTTAGGCATGGAGGAGTCAGAAAGGTCTCCCGTTGGAGGTAGTATCTGAGCTGTCTTGAAGGAGGTGGGAGATTCCAAGGTGGAGGTGAGGAGGAAAGCATCCCAGGCGTGGGAATAGCCAGTGCAAAGACATGAAGATGGGAGATGGAGCATTGCTTGTTTGAAACTACAAGGAGGCCAGGGTAGCTGGACCAAAGAGTAAAAGGAGGGACTAATGTGTGAGAAGACCAGAAAGTAGGAAGGGGTCAGGTTGTGAAGGCCTTTAAATGCCAAACAGAGGACTTTACATACGACCCTGGAGGTAATAGGGAGCCACAGGAATCTATTGATTATGGGAAGGGGTGGTGGTACTGTGGTCAGATTGCTGTAGGATGATCACTCTGGTGGAGGGACTGGTGTGGGAAGAAACTTTGAGCAGGTTATTGCAACAGTCCAGGTGTGAAATGAGTGGCTGCTTCAGGGTGAGTGGAGCTAATAAACGTAGACGTAGAAGCAGTCTGATTCAACCCCTTCATTTTGAAGAAGAAAACTGAGGCATGGGGGTGGGGGAAACGACATGATTTGCTAACAAATTGAATATGTGGGGTAAGTGAGAAGGGATTCAAGAATAATATTGTGATCATGGGAGGCTGAGAGCTTGAGAGTCCTTTGCCAGAAATCAGGAAGTTGGGGAAAAGGCAGGATTTTGGGGGTGGGTAGAGTACTAAGTTCTGTTCTGGACATGTTGAGCTGGAGAGGTCCATAGGACATCGTTTTTGAAATATCCAATGGCTAGTTCTTGATATAGGATTAGATCTCAGGAGAGAGATGAGGGCTGGATATGGAGGTCTGGGAATTATTTGCACAGAGATGGTAACTGAATCATTGGGAGCTGATGAGAACACCAAGAGCGAGCATACTGAGAAGGGCCCAGGACAGAGCCTTGTGGGACACCCGCAGTTAGTGGGAGTGACATGGATGATGACCATGGGGATGGTCAGAAAGCGGGAAGAGGAGGACTAGGAGAGAGCCTGGGAGGTTGGTCAGATGCTGCATGGCAAGGATTGAGATAAGACATCAGATCTGGCAGTTAAGAGATCATTGGTAACTTTGGAGAGAGCAGTTTCAGCTGGCCAGATCGTAGGGTTAGGAAGGGGAGGCACAGCTGTAGATGGCTTTATGCTTTAAGAAGCTTGGCTGAGATGGGGAGGAAAGATACAGGACCATAGCTGGTGGTAGGTGGTAGGGTGTGGTCGGGATTTAGAGAGGAGGATTTAGATCTCATGATCTTATTGTAATTTCCTCTGCCCAACCCCCAGCTCTGCACAGGACCCACTCTCCTGATGTCTACTCATCCTTTCTCTGTCCTCCTTCAAGCAGTAGGGACCCAATGCCAAGTGCTGGCTGGTCTTGGCTTGAATAGAGGTGGAAAGCTGGCTTCCCTAATTGTGATGGAGCCCTGGAGGGAGGAAGGTCACAGATGGTCAGTCCCTGGAGTACAACAAGAAAGCAGGAACTAAGAGGCTTGTTTGTAAAGGTTACTGTGCTCCATCACAGAGGGGAGGACCCTTAGATGAAAAAGAGCCCTGACTCTGTAGTGCTTTGGGGTTTCCAATTTCTTTTCTAGGCAAGTAGAGCAAGAACCCTCCCTGTGGGGTGGGTATTTCTCCTCTTTGCAGTGTCAGGCTTAGAGTTAGGAGATCTAGCTTTGGTACTTACTAGCAGTGAGATTATGGATGGGTAACTCAGTCTCTCAGATCCTCAGCTGCCCTATCTGTAAAATGGGGATAATAATATTAGCACTGCTCACTCACAAGACTGTTGTAAGGAGAGCACATTGCACACTTTGAAGTCCTTTGAAATACCAATAATATTTATTCCAACTCTGATGTTCTGTGTGCTATGTTCTAGGCTCTCTCTCACCTCTACCATTTTGTCTAAGGGTCATCCTAAGCTCTTACATTCAGTCAAGCAACTAGCATTTATTAAGCAGCTACTATATGCCAGACACTATACTAAGTGCTAGGGGCACAAAGAAAGGAAAAAATCAGACAATCCCCACTTTCAACTCCCAGTCTAATGGGGGAGATAGTGCGCAAATAACTGTGTACAAACAAGATATAGGCAGGATAAATGGGGGTAGGCTCAGAGGGAAGATTCAGGAAGACTGGGAAAGGCTTCTGGGAGAAGGTTAGCTGAGACTTAAAGGAAGCCAGGGAAGTTAGGAGGTAGAGATGAGGAGGGAGAGAGTTCCAGGTATGAGGCACAGCTATGGGAAATGCTTGGAGTCTGGAGATGGAGGGTCTTGTGCTAAAAATAGGAAGGGGTCCAATATTACTAGACTGTATTGTACTTGGTGGGGCTGGAGAGGGGATTAAGAAGATTGGAAAAGGAGGAAAGAAGGGTTTTGTGTTTGATTCTTGAGGCAATAGGGAACCAATGGAGGTGATTAATGTCA